TAAATTTAAAGGTGAGCAATTAGCCCATGTCTACCCAAAATTGTTTCCACCTAACAATTGTCCACTTGCTCATGAACATGAAATGACAAAAAGGCTACATGATCAATAAATTAATAATGGGGTCACTTTTAATCTTAGTATTTATAATTTAACCTCTTATTAAAATTGTTTCCACCTAACAATTGTCCACTTGTTCATGAACATGAAATGACAAAAAGGTTGCATGATCAATAAATTAATAATGGGGTGACTTTTAATCTTAGTATTTATAATTTAACCTCTTATTTCTCAAGTGTGATTAAAAGTAATATATTAATTTTTCAATATGATCCTAAATAATCCTAAAGAGGGTATTTAAATCAAATTTAAGAAAATCAAGGGACTAAATTAAACGCATTAAATAACTACACTAAAAAAACACTGCACAATAATGCAAGAGTTAGGGTGTGTTTGGCGCATAATTTTAATAGAATTTGATCAAAGATTTATAGTCTGTTTGGGGCAGGTACAACTTATTAATAAGCTGAGCATAATTTTAATAGAATTTGGTCAAAAATTTAGGGTCTGTTTGGGGCAGGTACAACTTATTAATAAGCTATTGTTCAAAAATCCACGGTGGCTACTACAACAACTAGACAGCTTTCACAGCATCTAGTCAGGAACGGTGTGAAAATGTTGATTTCTGCGGTTTGAATACTCTGCTTTTTGAAAAAGTTGACAAAACACAATTTACCCAAAAGGGTCTGGGTGTGTTTTCAAAATGCACCGCACCAAATAAGATACCTCAAACCGGTCCTTAATTTCAATCCAGCCAAACACCAAAATATTAAAGTTAAATCTAGCCCTCTGATAAATCAATTTTTTTTCTCTTTTTCTCATGTTTCGTCTCTTTTCTAATGAAAATTTGGATTTAATAAACCTGATTGAGATGCAAATAAAGAATTTATGCCGCATTCGCTTGCAAGGTCCATCTCATTCTCATAGATTTATTGGATTTACTGGATTTGATCAATTCTATTTAACTAGATAAACAAATAACAACATAGTTTCAATCTCAATAAAAGCATATGAAAAATGATGGAGAAAAGTGTAAAAAGTGTTGATTTAATTTGTAGGACAGTTTTAACAATTCTATACACCATGAGGCTAAAATTGCCCAATAAAAACATCAATTTTCACATTTCAATTCTAAACAAACTTCTATTTACAAGTAAAACATTCATAATTTACAATTTTATCCCAAAAATCAAACAAGCAGCAGAAAATCAAACACTATACAAGCAGCAAACATAACATGCTGGACAGTTTCTCATATCTCTGCATAGATGTGAACAACATTTTATTTACATAAAACTTTCAGTATTACACAGGACTTCTGCCATATTACATAAAAACAAATTAAGATTTGTATGTTTCAGGGCTGAAATTACACATAACTCAACCATTAATCTCACCACTTCCAGTTCCTTCATCATCCGCATCAGGCGGGCTATTGCTGTTAAACTGGGTCCTCGGTATCACATGGTGGTTGTCGACGGCGGTGGCAGGGAAACTCGCCGTGTTTTGCCGTGGAAACGACTGCGCTTTCACGAGCTCTTGAGCTGCACTATCCGCCATGGAAAATCCTCTTTTAGCCAAACTGCATTCCACCATTGCAAGGAGAAGAAGATGAAGAAGAAGAAGCTTGCAGATTCCAGTCTTCATCCTCAAACTCATTCCTCTGTTCTAAATGTAAGATTTCAGTCATTTATAAGAACATAAAAATTTGATTTTTTTAACCGGGAAAGATATAATGCTTACTGTCCGGGAATAAAAATCTGATCTTGCTTCTATGCTTGGATTCATGTTTGTTCAGCACTTCCAACCAGCTTTTTATAGAGAGGAAAAAGCTCAGAAGATGAATTATTAAACCTCCACCACAAGCAGATATTTTCAGTGGATGAACACATCATCATTCCACATATCAATATTTAACAATTGATTCCAAAAGAATATAAAATGAAATTTACATACATACCCCATAACTCTAATGTATTTACATTATATGCATGAAAAGTTAGTAATTGCAGTATTTTTCATTCAGGTGATGTTAGAGAGTTCAGTGTTGTGCATCTTAATGTGAAAGTTTAGGAGTTAGATGTGTAAATGCATGAGAATTGTGTGGGGTTATGTATGTAAATGTCCTGATGCAATGTAATTATATCAGTTGTGAAGGTTGGAGTTAGATGAGCAGCCACTCATTCATTGTTGACTTTATATAAAGTCTTTTGGGTTGCCTCTCAGTGGTGCCATATAAAGTAAGTGAACAGACCCCTCCATTTGGCTCAGAGAGGAAAGAACAGTCTTTCCCACTCATTCATTTCTGACACTTGGATTAAACTACTGATAGATATAAATCTGAATGCTCTGCAATTACGGAGCATTATTCTTTGAGAACATAAAGATGCCGCATGATCTTCAATAAGATGGGCTGCAATACCGTTGAATGATAAGCTAAAGGGAGTTTTACTTACTTCCCACACTATTTTTATTTATTTATGTAGCCTGTTCAGAAAATAGGACGAAGAAAAATAGTAATCGACACAAATCTAGAATGAACACAGAGATTTAACAAGGTTCGGCAAAGATGACTACGTCATCGCGAGCAGAGCGGCGATTTCACTATTTCATAGAAGTTACATACCCATAGAATTATAAAAGATGATTCCTCCTGGGGTTACTAACAGACCTACTTATAATCCCAGGAATAAACCCTAGGCACAATGTGTAATTACAACATTACCCCTGCATCGTACCACGGGGTTTTGCCCCCGCACCCCCAACCCACGTAACTCCCGACTATCGTACCACGGGGCTTTGCCCCCGCACCCCCAACCCACGTAACTCCCGATTTAGACAGATTCTTCCGCTCCGCTTCGATCCAGCGTCTTTCCCCATATGGTATATATGGTATATGAGTAATACCATAACATATCTGATGCCCAAAATTTAACATTTACACTAATAACCCCATTGGTTTCATAAAAATTTGCATTAAAAAATGTATTTTACAGTCCGTTTGTAGCAGCTGCAGCTTATTAATAAGTTGTTGAAAACCTGCAATAGCTACTACAATTTTTATTTTTTTGAAATGTCATATCGTAGCTATAAAGCTGTCACCGTATCTAATTAGGTTTGATGGAAAATTATGAATTTTAACTATTAGTTTTCTTAGAAGTTTTTCAAACACTATTTATCTAAACAAACAAAACTGCGATTCGATACCGCACAGTTGGGAAATTGCCGCCCCAAACGGGTTCTTAGTTAGACCGGTGAGATCATGAGTTGCTGCCCCTATGGATTGGGAGTATGTCGAGGTGAATACATGTGAGTTGGGATTAATTATTTAACATAATTAATTTAGTGGGCTTGTTTGAAGTTGGCCCAAATCTTACATCCGCAGAAGATCCAAATTTAATTAATATGGGACTTCCGGCTCTATGTTTTAGTTGCCATAAAGGTCAAACCTTACAACATTTTCACTTTTATTTTTGGGCTAGATGGATTTGAATCGGCCCAAAAATTATAATGTAGGATGGAGCCCAAATATATTTAAAATATACTAGAGTAACTGTCACTATCTCATTGCAGCATTCTATTTTTTATCTTATGGTTGGGATTCAAAGATTTAAATTAAAAATTAAGAAAATAATTAAAATATTATATCCCAAAATTTTAATTTTAAATTATATTGAAATATTTGAGAGTTAAGTATTCTAAATTAAAAAGTTTTATGTTGAATTAGTAAAAATATTTTATAGTTATATTATTGGTACAACATTTAAATTAAATTAAATCTGGTTTAACCTGCTTTTAAAATGAGGGGACCCAATTTATATATGACATACATTTGGAAGGTCAAACAGATGACGACACTAGCAAGCCTATATTTGAATTGAGCGTCTCGACAAGACAAATCTAACGAGCCCAAGGTCACTCAATTCCGACATCGTTAAGGCGCCCAAATGTTCATTAAACGTCGCATGATCGAAGGAAACTCTTTGGAATGTCTGATCAAAATGGTTGATATTCATGCATTAATTGCACCCAGAACACTATAAATAGACCTCCACCTCTCACATGAGGGGAAGTTGAAGAATAGAGAAAGCCTGGGGCCTTGAGGAGAAGCTGCAGCTCAGCATCACCGCTCGTCGTCGACCACCGCCGACCGTCATCAACATTTACCAACCATCATCGAGTAGCACCAACCACCATAGATCACTACAAACCAGACCCTGTCAGCCGACGTTGTAATCTAAAAAATATAGTTAATCTTTCCCGTCTGTGGGACAAGAGATTTTTGTAATCATCAATCAATAGTGGCTTTCCACAACTGGGTCAGGACCTGTGATTTTTTCCCTTATAGGTTTTCCACTTAAAAGTTTATGGAGTCTTCACTGCTTATTTCTTTTTCATCTGTGCGCGCTGAGCCTTCGTACAACGCGAAAACGCTAGTCCGTTACTCTACCGCCGTGAATTTTCTAGCACGCATCAACTGATTAGAAGGCTTTTTAACGATTTTAAAAATATGTGGTTATTATTATATAATAAAATAAAATTATAATTTAAAAAATCATAATATCTTCTTAAATTAAGTGTAATTTGAGCTTAATTCAACTCAAAACCAGTTGAATTTTCGTCAAAATTATCCTAGAAAGTTTTAACATATTTCTCATCTCCTTTATTTTTCTTTCCGAAAAGACTTACGGCAAAGTCAAATAATGTGTAATCAATAACGATGGTAAATTAATACTAATAATGATAAATAGCGGTATTTACATAAATACCACGTAATTCTTATGTTTTTACATATCTAATCTATAAACTTTCTTATTCACATAAATAGGATCATTTTTAAGAACAACCCTGTTGGGGAGTCTAGGTGAAAGTCCATTTATTAATCTTTGGACCTCATATTTATCGAATGGAAAATTTTTGTACAATTACAGAAAGAATGAAACAGTTGTGGAAACTGCTCTTAATGCAGTTAATGTGCTAAATTAATACAATATTTGTGTTGTCATTTAAGTGTAATACAACGGTCATTAGTCGATCGATGCATTTTAGTTCGGTTGACCAGAGCGATCGGTTGCGTTGCGTTTGCTTCTGTTGAGACGAGGTCAATCGATCGATTAGTTGTGATCAAGCGCCCTTGAAAGAATTTTGGGTGCCTATGAACATAAGCGTGATCCGTCATTTAAATCCCTCGACAATGTCGATCTGACAAGCAAATAGAGCGGTCGGTCATCAAACGGCTGGTTCCCATGCTCATTCGGTCTGTCGCTTCGATTGCTCTATCGTGATTCTCATCCATCTGGTTGCTTCGAGATTCGTGTTAGTAGTTTTGGCATATACAATCCCTAATAATTGACATATAGACAAATTTCAATATGTTTATTTCTTCAAAATATTTATTGAAATTTTTTTTATAGAAAATTTGCAATTAACATTATCATGGATGTTGAACATCTTATATAATTAAGCCAGTCGGGACCTCGGTTTAACATCAAATAAAAATCATTTGATTCAATATTATTGTTTTTTATATCTTTTTCATAAGTTTTTCTAGAAGCAATATGGCTATTAATGATGTAATTTAAAATATTAATCACATTTTTTTATAAAATATGGTTCATTACACCTAATTAAGTGTTATAAGTCTAAATATCAAATTTTAGTTATTAGGTATTTAAATACATAAGTGTTGGGTGATATGTAAGTAAATTTTCTATAAAAAAATTCATTTGTTCATTAATCGCAATTAATGACAAATTTAATGACAATTTATATATA